GTGATGTTTAAGGCACACACCCTTGGGGGACTATACATATCGTAGGGTGCACTGAGAGATAGTATAGGACAGTTGTGGTGAACTGATGGCATGTGGGCTGCAATATCATTGAAAGCTCTAAAAGGCTCAGCATCACTGGGATAGTATGAAGAACACTATAGTGTATTAGAAATGAAAAAATAATGGTTTCCCTGTCAATTCATCTGTTAGCCACTGACCTTGATCTAGATCAGAGGTGGCAAAACTTTGGTATGCATGCTTCAGTAGGCACACAGAGCCTTCTGTGAGCACAGAAGCCAAGTTGTCCAGTGTTGGCCCCAGCAGCCAGTGAGCATGGGTAGCAGTAAACAAGAGCATGCCACATGCAGACTTTTGTCTTTCAGTAACAAGCTGTTTGTGTCATTGAAAGTTCTGTTACTGTGTATTTCTTTTAAGAGCAAAGATGTTAGGGCCGGCCAAATAGCTCAGCAGATTAAAGTGCCTGCAAGCAGGTGCAGCGGCCAGAGGTTTGATCTCTGGGCCTGCTGTGTCGGTCCTGTTCCTGGGGTGTGCTGAGATAGCAGTTGAGACTGGGCGTGGTGGCGCACACCTGCAATCCCAGTCTTGGGAGGCTGTAAACGGGTGGATCACTATAAGTCCGTTCTAGTAGAAAGACCCTGAACACCCTGTAGACTCTTCCCTAAAATACCAAAAAAAAAAAAAAAACCAAAAAAAAAGAACAACAACAACAAAAAAAACCAAAACATGCACGCACACACACACAAAAAAAAAACCCCAAAGATGTTAATGTATGAGTTGATTATTGTAAATTAAAACTTCAGCATTCAGGTTTATGTGCATTTGTTGGCACTTCGTGATAAATAAGTGGGTTTTGAGGTGCAGTTTGGGCACTCAACTGTAGAATGTTTGCCATCACTGATCTGGGTTTAACTAATCTCTGAACTTTGATATTTTTACTCTGTTAAAGTGTAGTACTGGGGCCAGGGATATAGCTCAGTAGAATAAGTGCTTCCCTGGCAAGCACAAGGTCCTGAGTTCAATCCCCAATACTACACACACACACATACACACACACAAAGTGTGGTGCTGCAGAAGAAAAGAATCTGGGAAATTGTACCTTTTAAAAAGCATTCATTGGGCTGGGGAGATGGCTCAGTGGAATAAGCGCTTCCCTAGCAAGTACAAGGGTCTGAGTTCAATCCCTGGTTCTGCCAAAAAAAAAAAAAAAAAAATATTTTGGGGCTGGTGAGATGGCTCAGTGGTCTAAAGCACCTACTTAGAACAAGCTTAGCAAAGCACAAGGGACCGCGGTTCAATTCCCCAGCCCCACATGCCAGCCAGCCCCGCCCCCTGGTGGGCTGAGCTGGCCACACACACACACACACACACAAATAAATAAATAAATAAAATTAAAAAAAAAAGCATTCATTGTTTGTAGTACGTTATTGATGGAGTATTTTATGTACATCCTTGAATTACATCTCAAGTGGTGGTGTCCACTTTGTATAAGTGTCCACTTTGTAAGTAGCCAATTAGTGCTTCTGGGATACTTAACTCAGTAAGTGATAGTGTATTTTGTACTTTAATGTTTATTACCCTTAATTATAGACATTCTTTTTTTTTTTTAGACAGGGTCTTGCTATGCAGTTCAAGGCTGGTCTTGTACTTGCTATGTAGCCCAGGCTGTCCTCAAACTCTAAAGATCCCCTGCCTCGGCCTCCTGAATGCTCTTATTGTAGGCACCACCATGCCCTGTGTTTGTTTGAATTTCTAATTGCTTTTCTTTTTGTGCCTTTTAGTATTCATGTATGTAATCTTACAACTTTAAAACTAGAACAGGGACCGGAGAGATAGCTCAGAGGTATAAACACCTACCTGGCAAGCCCAAGGACCTGAGTTCAGTTTCTGGAGCCACATGCAGAACTACGGTGCAGTCTTGCCTGGGTGTGCTGTTTGGCCCTGGGTGCACGTGCCCTATGTGCTCCAAACTGGGTGTGGTGGTGCACACCTGTAATTCCAGCACTCGGGGTGTTGAGCGAGGAGGATCTCTGTGAGTTCGAGACCAGCCTGCGGGTACAAAAGTGAGCACAAGACCAGCCTGAACTGCATAGCGAGATCCTGTCTCAAAATGAAAACTAGAACATAGTAAATTATTTTGAAGCACAAATTATAAATTGGTCTTTTTGGCAAAAAGCTGTCACAAAATGACTCTTAATTTCTACAGAATGTATTTGGGCCGTGAGTTTGAGGCCAGCCTGGGTAGCATAATGAGTCAAGGCCTGGCTGAACTATATGATGAGCTCTTGTCTCAAAAATGTAAAAACAAATTTTATTTATTTAAACAAATTTTAAAAAGATCATATGTTTTATTTATTTGTCTTTTTTAGACAAGGTCTCACTATGCAGTTAAGGGTGGTCTTGAGTTCATTTGTAGCCCAGACTGGTCATTGAACCCACAATGATCCTTTTGCCACAGCCTCCTAAATACCAGAATTACAGGTGTGCGCTAGCATGCCTGGCTTAAAAACAAACAAACAAAACAACATATAGTTCAAGAATTTCTTTAGATTGCTAGTAAGCACTTTTATTTATTTATTTATTTTTACTTTTTGGTGATTGAACCCAGGGTCTTGTCACTAAACATATGTTCTACCACGGAACTATCCCTAGTCCCTAATAACTACACACACACACACACACACACACACAATGTGTATATATAAGGACTTTTGATATCATTTGTTTTGTTTTGCTTTTTAGAGACAGAGCCTCAGTATATACTTTATGCTAACCCTAAATTCACTATGTAGCCCAAGTTGGAAAAAAAGAGTCTACTACACTCAACAATAATGGGAAAGTTAGAATTTTTGAGACACTGGGAAAGTTAGAATTTGTTGGATTGGCTTTGTGTTGTTGTAATGTAAAGTATCCTTATTTGGATAGTTTCTATCAGAGTAAAGGAAGATACGAGGCAACATATCATAGAATGATTTTATGTACTCCAGTCATATACCTTGAAAGTTTTCAAAGGAAAAACAAGCTGAACATTTCTGATTATAATGTTTACATTTTTTGTTTCTGTGTTTACAGATGATTAAATTTTCTACATTTGTGGTACATGATTCAGTAAATGCTGGTTGACAAAATACTTTTTGCCTCCACTTTTTTTTGGCAGAACCGGGGATTGAACTGAGGCCCTTGCCCTTGCCAGGGAAGCGCTTATTCTACTGAGCCATCTCCTCGGCTCCTCCTCCACATTTTTTGTTAGTACATATTAGTTACATACCTTAATGGGTTTTATTTAGAGATATTTATAAATGCACATAACATTGTAGTCAGTTTCCTCTTTTCCTTTCCTCTTGTCTAATACTTTCACTTCTATTTTTTATTGTTTTTGTGATACTGGGGATTGAATCTAGGGCAGTGATGGTGCACCCATAGCGTGTGCGCTGCAGCCTGCTAGTCATCATTGGAAGCTCTAAAACATTCTCAGTTACGACTTAGGGTCTTTGCACTGAGCTGCACCCCCAGCCTTTTTCTTATTTTGAGATAGAGTTTTGGTAAACCACTAAGTACTCAGGATGGACTTAAGGTTTAAATCTTTGTGCTCCAGCATTTTAGAGTGTTGGATTACAGGCATATATCACCATGGAAGGCTTTGCTTTTACTTCGTCATCTCTTAAGAATTCGTTATATTGGGGCTGGTGAGATGGCTCAGTGGTCTAAAGCACCTACTTGGAACAAGCTTGGCAAAGCACAGGGACTGCGGTTTGATCCCCCAGCACCACATGCCAGCCCGCCCCGCCCCCTGGTGGGCTGAGCTGGCCACACACACACATACACACACACACACTAAATAAATAAATAAATGTTTAAAAAAAAAAGAATTCCTTATATTAGGAAAATCCCACAATATTTGCATTTCTGAATCTGGTTTATTTTACTCAAAATGATGTCTAGTTTCATCCATTTTTTGGTAAATGACAAAGATATTTTTTAAAGCTTTTTTTTTTTTTTTTTTTTTTTTAAAGATAGGGTATCGCTCTGTAGTCCAGGCTGGCCTTGAACTCAATGATCCTCCTGCCTTAGCTTCCTGAGTGCTGTGATTTATAAGTATATACCACCATGCCTGACCAACAAAAATATTTTTTAATGATTGAATAATTTGTGTGTGTGTGTGTGTGTGTGTGTATGTGTGTGAGTGAGACATTTTCTTTACTCATTCATCTGTTTGGTACCTATGCTGGTTCTATTCTTGGGTTTGCATATTGTGCTGCAGTATACAAGGGAATGGATATATTCCTGTAGTATGTAGACTTTGATTACTTTGGGTCTATACTAAGCAGTGGTATAACTTGATCAAATGGTAGCTATAATTTTGGTTATTTGAGAAACCCCTTATGGGTCAGTCATTAAATATACATGGCCTGTCAAAGTCTGTATAGCCCCTAAGCTTTCTATGTATGTACAAGCATGCCATATCTTCATTACATTATCACTATTTTCTTTTTTATGTATTTAGGACAGGGTCTATGGAGTCTACAGGGTCTTAGTACGTAGATCAGACTTGTAGTGATTCTCCAGTTTTCAGCCTCCCAAACACTGGGATTACAGGCACATGCCACAGGTCCAGTCTCAAATCACTATCTCATTGTGCCCCCGGGGGTGGGGGAAGGGTTGGCATGGCATGTAGGGGATCAAATCCCTGTCCCCCTTCATCTTCCCTAAGCAGGCACTTTAATCCTATCACTATTTACTTTGACATAGAATGATTTACATTCCTATCAGCTGTGTAAAAGGGTTCTTTTTTTTTCCCCCTGCATTCTTGACAGCATTTAATTTTTTTTGTATTGTCAATAATATCGATTCTGACAGATGAAATGGAATCTCAGTGCAGTTTTGATTTGTATTTCCCATAAGTATTCTTGATTATCCAAGAATATTAAGAGTTCTATTTGTGTTAATAGGAATAATAAATTGTTTTTAATAATGTCTTTCAG